ATTTTCGATATATAGATAGAAAACCAATATTTTTACCGGGTAAAATGTCGCATACTTCTAGTGGTAAGTATACATCATTTCTTACCATAACACATGGTAAATTTTCAAAACTTAATCTACGATTATAAGTCCTATAGAAATATTCGGCGACGGAAACCTTCGCTTCATTTATTTTGAAATATAGGCGATCGGCGGGTTCAGTTGATAATTTTCGAACAATGTACACAGGTCTACGTTGGCCACGATGAATAGTGCGTATTTTTAGACGCCTTACGAACTATCAATTCGATATAAATTAACGTTTAAAAATTTATCCAATATTATGAATATAATAATAGACAACAAACTTTTGCTAATATCGTCCATTCACGTGACGATAGCCCTTGCCGGAATTCGTCTATATTATGTTTATTAAGTAACCTTGCTATCACTTCTAAGAAGGGTCCTCCTAAATAAAATACACTTGCGCAAACATCCACATTTATTGCCAAGGAATCTATGACGACAAATTATAAAATTAATTAGAGCCTTGCTCATGACATCATATTTTAATATTCAAAATTTTTGATATTTACTCCATACGGGACGTAATGATTGATAAAATCCTAGTCTTAATTCAAATGCACCAGGAAGAACGATTGGATTTAAGTTAAGATCAGGACAAACGACTTGCCGTGAATGTGGAAAAATGCTTCTCCCGATGGCAGGATAATTACGGCGAACAGTAAAATTGATATACGTGTTTAATGCCATTATACACTTAATCACCTCACCGACGGAAGCAATGCTTCCCGTGACAAATTTTTGAAGTTCATCGAAAGAAAGTTCTTGAATAAAACGGATTGTAACTTTATAAGATCCATTACGAACTCTATAATCATCATTTTGTGATACATGTAACTAGTCGCGAAAGAAACAAATTTTAGCCGTAATGATTTTTTGAGCACAAAAATCTACAACGGAGATTTTAATCGAAAACATTTTTTTTACCTCAAAATGGTTTCCACCCCTCTCATTCTCGAGACTTAAAGGAGTTGCCGAATAAATCGAGGTGTTACCGTCAAAAACGGCATTAAACCCATTTTGATAAGCTAGTTTATCGTAAACATACGCGATTGTATCTTTATTTGCTTTGGGGGTAATGTCGAAACCGTAATGATTTATGGTAACATCCGGAAACTATAATGTTCTCGAATATGATTCACATATTCACATTATGTGCTTACATCAAACATACCGTGATGAACAAAAAATAGAGATAATCACCCTCGTTATCTTATAGTAATTGCACTTATATTGGATAGTTGTTCCGAGGGTGCCAATGCCTGGTCTCTTTGCTATATTAAGCTCAGTATCTTTTATATGTTCAACTTCCACTGGTGACACGTTCGTAACAAAAGGAAAATTGTTAATCAAATTCAAGAAACCTTTTTTTGAACCATTAAACAATATAATTAAACATTACTTTAGAACATTACTTTTTAAACATTACTTTCTAAACATTACTTTCTAAATATTACTTTTCTAAATAACGGAAAAGTTAAGAATGATATATTTTACCGGTCACATTTATTTATATGTGATTAGAAATCAAAATTACACGTGGTAGAATATTGTTTAGTAAAATACGTAGTGTTAGTTCAGTGATCGTCGTTGTGTTCAAAGATTTCCCACATAAATAAGCAGTGTAACAAAGTTATCAATAGAAGTGGCAAGTCAGTTTATTTAAAAAAAAACGAAATGTTTTAAATTCTTTTTTTTGATCGGAATTATATCTTTTATCTTTATGGATAAATTGATTTGATCTCTAAGCCTTCTTGGTGGTCTTGCGGTTGAAAATTTTTAAGCCACTAACTGGGGCATTGTTTGCGAACGTACGTACGTATGATGCGTCAATTATCACATTAGTTATTTTCTAATTTAAATATTTATTTTGTAATGCAATTGAAAAAAATACAGTATCAATTGGAACGATTTTAGATCATCTACACATGATCATTACTAAACCAGACTGAAGACCTGGAATTGCCTAATAAGTTTTTAAAGTTAATACAAAAGATCTAAATCACGTGTTATAGAGGACGCGAGCTAGATAACAAAGAACGATAGCAGTCACCGTAACCAGTTTTGGTGTTTAGTACTCCGAGAATGGCATAATTTAAAATACCTTTTATGACTTTACTGTAAATACAGAAATACAAGTTACATGGTTTAATATACTTTAATTTACTTTAATTATACTGTATCGGTATGTGTCTCCGCAAATACTGTAAATAGTATAAAAAAAGCAAATACGCTACGTACGCATTTTTACTTAGTCAATTTTTTTAGTTTAAAAATTCTATAGATTGGTTAGTTAGAGGTTAGGGTAGATGAATTTTATGATATTATATTTTACGATATTATATAAATTTATATTATATAGTATAATAAAAATTATATATCGGGTGACTTTAACCCGGGTGAAAATAGAATTTCGCTTTTATATATTGTTAGAAAATCTGGCATATTTAAAATAAACTATACTCATGGTTATTTGATAAAGTAGATGTTATCTATATAATATTTTATTTCAAATTTTTATTAAAAGATACTGTAAATATATACTGTAAATTTAAAGTTGAAATTAGAATTGATTTTAAAATTAAAAAACTTAAATACATAGTATATAGGTATATATATATAATATTTTAAAAAATTAAACTAACTGTTTTTTTTTTTTTTTACCTTTTTCTGCATCTTGAAGGTCCTTAGACACCTTTGGATCTTTCACATCTCTCAAAGGCCAGAGTTTTCATATCTGCGGAGATCACCAGTATGGCAAATTGGCCACCTATATGAGGAGAAGTCAATAGAAAAGGGACAAATCATTTTTAGTAAAATTTTTTTAATTTTTAAATTAAAATATCTTAATAACTATAGTACAAGACACTTAAAGACTACATTTGTCCCATTTTCAAAAATTTCATATTAAAATTTGATGTTTTTTTGATTTTTTGTATTCTGATTGGTCAAAAATTAATTAATAAAAAATATTTTAAAAATAATTT